TTTTAAAAAGTTTTTAAAACCAAAAAAGTAAAGACATCCTATTAAGAAATACGGGAATTTAAGGAAAATTGTTTTTTTTTTTGTTTTTAATTTTCCCCAAATTTAATAGTCATAAACCTTGTTTTTTCCCTCCAAAATGAATTTTTTTATTTTACATTATTCAGAAAATTCTAAAAATCTTTAAAGAGCAATCAATTTAAAAATCGAAAACTTTCGAAGAAAGATTATTATCAAACCGAAAGGAATGTGAATGTTAAGATTAAAAAGTTTTGTAAAAGTATTAAGATAAAAAGTTTTGTAAAACTATAAGAGAAGATGCAAAGTCATTAATAGCTGTCAAAATGATTATCTGTCTTGGAATCTAAAGCTCGATTTATTTCACGCCACTTCTGCTTACAGTACAAAAAGAATTGTCATTTTAATAGCAGTCTCCAAAATAGGTGATGTGATACCAGTTTCTAGACATCCTATTACAGAATAAATTGTATATCATATTTTGGGAACACGGTATTTTAGAATACATTTTATGTGTTTGACCTATGCTTTATAAATTGGTCGTAATTGAATGCTTCGTTAGAATCAAACAAAATATGATAACACGTGAACACGTGAACATGTCTGCCATTCGAAATAAGTTGAATCCTAATTTGAAACTTTACGTGAAACACTTACACTTGCTATTGAAATGTAATGACATTAACAAACAATAGACATGAAAAATGTTGTTTTTATTCAAATAATGATTTTAAAATCTATCGAGTAAATATATACATATTGATCACAGACGCTTGGGGTTATGTGCGTGGCTCCCCTTCTTGATCCGCACTTGTATACACCATGCCTATTTTTATCGTGCAAACCGTACGTCAAAATATTTTTGCATATTATTACGACCTGGTCACATGTCTTGAACATAAAACATGTTTTCCGCTATTTTAACCACGTTTAAAAAAGTCCCTAGAATATCATAATTTCATGAAGATAACAACGTACGCTTTCCTTTGATGTGAGATGACTGGAATGAGTTTCGGCACTGTTTTGCGCTTTCATTTCCATGCCGAGAACCAAAACCCCGCAGCGGTTACTTCCCCTAATCAGTACAGAAACCAAATCAAGAAGACTGACGGAAAGGGCCGAGTAGTTGCGATTGAATTTCTTTTTCCCAGCGATTTTCCCGCTGTAATTTACGGGAAACATTCCAGTGGTCATGAATTCGTAAAGAAGCATGTGACTCAGTTATGAAAATATAATTAAATGTGCAAAGCTTGGAAGAAAGGTACGATCTGATAATAACATGCAGTTATTTATTAAAGGAATATATGCATCGACTGATTTACACCAGAAATAAATGGCATGCGATGACATAAATACCTGAAATATATGTAGGTCAGTTGTGTTTACATTTCGAAGCTTGGTATCTTCAGGAAATTGAAGCGTTGGAAAAAAATTGACTTTTTTAAAACGTTATGAAATTCTATTCAAACTTGTTCATGTGTTAGACACTTAACCGTCTCATACTAATATAAACACAAATTTAAAACTTATTCTTGTAATAAACAATACTTTTAGTTTTTAATATTCAGGGGCGGAGAAGGGCGGGGTCCATACTCCAAGTGTCTGTGATATTGATTGTATGACTCGCTGTTCAAAATAAACCACTAAATTGTAATGTTCGAAAACCATTGAAAACTGAATATCAAATAAATTCAGATATTTTCTAAATGTTTTCTTTTCTTATTGACATTCTGTAAAGCTTTTACTAACTTAAGTCACCTATCCAAACAACGGAAAGTTATTACAAAGAAGTACTTTATAATTTAGAACTGACTTTTGTTTTTATTATTGTCGTTTTTGATAATCTTACTGTTCTGGAAATTGTTTAGTATAAATCAGCTTTGTTTAAGAAAGAGCCATAATGAATGTGCATATTTTAAAATCAACTTGAATGTTTCTTCGTGTTGTTAAATGCCTTTTGCAATTTGAAATGCAATTGTCAATAATCGTAGCTCAAGACGGAGTAATTAAAAGGTCACAAAATATTAAAGAATATATTTTTAAACATTGTTTATCCTTTAAGTGATTGCTGTTTTTTCTGTAGAATAACTTGACCTGACTGATTCCATTGCAATATGAAATTTATTCAACTTATCTTGCCACAATATTGCATGTATATACATCGTGGGAAGTAGATAGCCCCTGATTTACAAACGCCAAGGAATAAATGACTGATATCTGTTTAAACTAAGGTAGTGGGGAATGTTTACCATTAACATACGCTTAGGAATAAAATTTTGATATCTGTTTGAATCTAGCAGTGAAAAATCGTTATCTTCGGAACCTTACGGCTTTTCTAAAATGTATGAACAACTATCTAAACTCATACACTTTCGAAATAGCCTTTATATCAAACTTAATGAGATTATGTCAGATGGAAAAAAACAAATGTGAACTTACAGTTATACATTGTTTCAGGAACATTATGAAAACTTAAGATATCCTGTGCAAATATCATTTTTTAATAAAAATATTAAGTTTGAAAATTGTTGCTAAGTGATTGTTAAAACTAATTTATTTAAACAAAATGCATGATAAATTGTATAAAAGATATCAACATTGACGTAAAATGTACCAATTGAACAGCTTCTCGACAAAGACTCTCAGCAGTTTCAAGAAATACTACATCAAACAATACATTTCAATGTTGCAAATATCATTCTTGTCGTGTTTTATCGAATAGGACCATCGTTAAGAATTTAAGGAAGATATAAATCTCTTGAAAAATATCTTTATGTAATTGATAATTATTTAAAGACTAATTTTGTTGGCATTTTAATTAAATCACTTATTTACCAACATATACATGATAATCTGGAAACATGATAGCGATTCAAAGAAAGTACTCGAAAACACTTGAAATATAACTTGATTATCTCGTTAGAAAAGTTAAGTTTTTTATAGGTATTTGCTGGCATAAAAATATTTCACAATCATCCTAGGGTATGTATCAAATTCAACAGCGTATTACATTTGTATATCTTAAACTAAATGAATGATTAAGTACATAGAAGAAATGAAATATCATTGTCGGACAAAAATAGATTTATGTTATTCATAAATTTCGCACCGAAGATAAAGATTTATTTTTCATTTGAGTTCCTGATTCCTGTAACAAGTCGTTAAAAGTTATATATACCACGGTATCTAGAACAAACTTGTGTTTGAAAACGGAATTTTAAAGTATGTTAAAACTGATTAAAGCGATACCAATATTGCTTTAAAATAAAATAACAAAAATCGAAAGAAAACAACTTTAAAGGCTTATAAAATTAAATGTTGTAATACTTTTATTGAAAACTTTGTATGGCACAATCAATAAATTATAAATTGAAATGAAGAGGATTGAAGCAATTCTTTTTTTGTGTGAAGAATGTCAAAGAGCGAACCTGTTTCCTTCTGTGTAAACTATATCTTTTACAAATTAATTTCTTACCATGTTAACAGTCTTTCCAATTCTCACATCGTTTCCGATAATAAAACATACATTTTTTTCAATTTAAGATTGAACTAAATTTTAATTGAGCGGATAAAAAATTCAAATATAACAGTGCGGTGTAGCCATTAATGAACATTTGTGGTTCTACTCAGGTGTCCGTTTGTGTCTTTGCTGTGATACTCAGTAGTAATTACCATTTTCTCCGACTTATCCCATATGGTTTGATTCAGCGTTGAAAGGCAAATGACCATTAGACGCAATGTCCGATATTACTTGCTTGGGAGAGCCAGGCATGAGGTTAGAATCATTGTGAGCTAGCCGTGTCTGATAACGGTTTTGCAGTTTATTTCAGATCAGAATTTTGTTACATTTTGCAAGACGTTAATGATAATGGAACTTGTTCGCTAATCGATTACATGCTACACAGTTAATCCATTGGATGTATGTGGAGTTTTCTCCATCACAACCATTATTTTTAGGACATGAGATGACATTCTGAAACGTGACATAGCTATTCTGTACGTTTTCTATACCAACAATAACGAAATACATGTTATTGAAAGTGTTGTAAAAAAGGACTCTTGAAGAATTACTGATTCGGGCACTTCAATGTGTCTCTAACTGTCTGGCTAAATACATTAAGAAATATATTTACTTGAACACCTCGGTTCTACCATACATTGTCGAAACCTAGCCTAGACAATAACGACCGTACTTTCGAAACCCACTTTACTTTTCTACTGTTATTTTAATAATCTGCTTTTAATAGCAATAAAGCCAGTTCAGTTCTGACATACACGATATCAACCAATATTTAATTTATTGAGCATAATTTAAATCTGCCTATGTACAAAATCATTTTGAGTCGGTATCAAAACACCAATTAAGATTTTAATAGAATGCAATAAAAAGTTCCTTCTAATTGTATACCTTTTGTAAAAGCCCCAGGCCTCTGAGGAATAACACAAAATTGGTAAAATCAATTTATAAAAAAATCTAAGTGGTGTTTTACATAAAGATTTGTAAACAAATATACATATCTATTCATTTTGTATATTGTGTTAAAAATATATATAGACGGTGCCGACACGGTCGTAATGATTTATCTTAATGTCTTGGATATTAATTTAAGATATATTATGCATGCTCACCCTTGAGTAACATTTTTTAATCATAAATAACAGAAACGTATTGAAATCATTGAAATAGATAAATACAGAAATTCTTACTGAATATGTCTTATTTGAATTAAAGAATGAATAAACTGTATATGGGAAGCTGCATTCCTTATTACAGATCAAGTAAAATTTAGGTTTTTCTATAGAAAGATTTCAGTAGAAGTTTAAACAGAACTTACATACTTTGTAATAAATATCAAATTTGAGCATATCCTAGCTGTAACTATATCTAGATTAAACGATATGTAACTTTTTAATAAGAAAAATATGGCAAATAGATAAAAAACCAACACAAATTTTAATATCAAAACATGTTTCGGTTTATTAACATCATCATTATATAATAATGACGTAAACGTACGTTACTGTAAAGAAATCACTAACAATTCAATATCAAATATGAGCATGAACGTAGTATATAAGACATAAAGGCATCAGACTCATTACCAAATAAAACCAAAATAAAAAGCACACGGGTGACCTCGCTTTACTATATCTAACTTTTGAAGCCAGACATATGTCCGCAAAGCACTATATAAATCATCTGAAAATATTGGAAAAAAACAACAACAACAAAAAAAGAGAGAAAAGAAAAGAAACAAAAGAGAAAAGAAAAGAAACAAAACAAAAACAAAAACTTTAAAAGGTACATACTAAAAAATTCTTCAAAACAAACTTTTTTTTAGTTCCTAAAAGTAAACAGCTGATAGATTCAGGTGTTTATTACAATGCAACTCTTACACTTAATATTTGTTTTGTTCAAAATTTTATGCAAACACCTCCCCTTTAGGTGGAGAAAACGTGTTAACGCGTTCCACCATATCAAATCTCGGTTAAATACAGACAGTTGCACAGTGCATTTTTTGTATACGGAGATAAGAAAACATTGTCTTTCCGTTTGAAGAAAAAATGTAAATAAAAAGAAATTTAAAATAGGTCCTTCAGTGTAAGCTGATGTATGTGAATATTTTTATGTATTTTTATTGTCGACTTCAAAATCAATCGTGTCATTCCACAGTAAATCATGCGCCTTATTCAAAATCATATTAGGCAATCGAGTAAACAAAGACTGATGGCTACGTGTATATTGTAAGTATCTTGGCTGTATAAAGAAGCGAATTCCTATTATAGGTTTGTGACAAGTTTGCATAATCGCCATTCTTGCATACATATTTTTGAAATGTTAACCAAATTATTGAAGGTCTTGTATGGTAACAACGCTTTCTGATTGATTTTATGGGACATCACTGCGGTCTGTATTGACTTTGATACGGCATAAAGCTTCCAGTTTGATTTGGCAGAATTACTGACGCTTGCTGATAAGGTTGGGTATTCATGTGTGGATTACCTATAACTACTGCTTGTTCTGGTGCAGGTTGTATGCTGCCGTGCATATAAAGAACAGGCATAGCCTGTTGTTGTTGAGGGTATTGGAAACTACCCGTCTGATTTTGAATGATTGTATTTGGCTGCTGAAATTCATTGCCGCCAACTTGGTAAGCGACCGTTTCAGATCTGGTGTCATTATTTTGAAAACCGCCATTGCTGTTTGTCGATGCTCCCGGCTGCTGTTGTAACGTTGTGTTTACGACAGTGGTCTTTCTGTTCCTTTTACTAATAAATCCTTCATTGGTTTGGTTCAATGCGAGAACGGCGTTGGCTTGAAATTTGGACGGTAAAGTTTTGTTTTGTATCAATACAAGAACAGTCAATGTGACAGATGATGACAGAAGTAACATACCACCACCATAATAGAATAGTTTCTTCCAATTATCATCATCGTCATCTTCAATATCACCTTAAAAAGTCATGAAAAAGAACTGTACAATAAAAGCCAAAAATATTACATTTCAGTTAAAATATACATAACTAATTGCTGTAAACAACATTTAATCTTCTTTGTATTTCTATTTACAAAATATGTATGAAAACAACACTTGTGATTACTCATGATTCTTGCCAACATAATCAAAAGTGTTTTTATTTATTATTGAAAACAGAACTAAATGAGCTTAAATTCATTCTAGAAAATAACCTGTCAATTGTATCTCTATATAAGCCGGCTTACCTCCAATTACATTTGTAATAACACCACCAAGACCAACAAACATCAGGATAAGTCCTTCAACAATTCGCACATTTTCCCTTCCAAACTCTTCCGGGACAGCATCATCTCGTAAACCTTCGCAAAATGCTGATAGAGAAAAAGCATTACAGAATTTTTGACGATTAAGAATAGTTTATTGATATTGTGTTTAAGACGTGTACTGCTTTTGATCATTTTAAGTAGAAGTGTCACATTTATCCGTTTTAACGGGTACGGTCGGTTTTTAGCTAAAAACAGTTAGAAAATGCAATAACCGGTAACCGAGGTTAATATTTGACAAAAGAGCAAAAAAGTTACTAATTGATTCTTAATATTACCTTAAGTAGGTTTTTTTTAAACAAAATATGACAATTGTTTGTATTTTGGTTGTACTCAACAATGAATTTTTCCGCGATCTAATCGTATACGGTACGACCCTAGCGGAAAATAGTCACTCCATATTCGGATATGTATTGTAATCATTTTGAGTACAACAAAATACGAACAAAATACGAACAAAAACATAAAAAACAAAGTCTAAGGATTTTATTAGTACGGTCGTAAAAACGTTTAACACGGTTATTACGTTGACGTTTAAACGGTTAGCATTTTCTCTAACCGTGACACTCCTTATTTTAAGTACTCAATATTACTCTGTATCTATCGCTGTAACAAACACACATCAAGTAAAGTCACATGGCCAGAAGAATAAAGACCGACAGTTCTTCAAGTGTGTTAAAGCATAATTACTTGAGATTTTTATGGAATTTTATGGCTATGTTTATTTGGAGTGAGTATCACGTCATCGGAAACATTGCTCAAAGAGCAAAGTTTGATACCATTCTATGTTTAATCAGTGATGAATAAGATACATATTTAAAAGTAATGATGTCATCGCAATCGAAGAATATGCCCCTTACCATACAAAGCAGCAAACAGGATACTAAATGGTAAGAAGTACCAAAAGTTAACTGCTTTAGGCGCTATAAAGCAACCAATAGACATACTAATTGCTGCCACAAATAAAATACCAAACACTATTTTCATACGGTCTGCCTTCAACGTTCGCATATGCAATCTGAAAATAAATATAAACAAAGAGATAACTTAAAGTGTGACTGCATAAAAATGATGATTTGGTAATTTTATATACATGTTTTGCCCTGATTATTTTCATCTTAAAGTAGATTCTCATAATGATTATGATAATGATGATGATGATGATGATGTTTATGATGATTATTTAGGATATCGATGAATGATGGAGATTCTTTCAAACTTTATTTGGTTTAAACATATTTATTTAAGCTCGATTGCGAAACAAGTTCTTGCAACTTATATTAATCACTTTCGAGTCCGCTTCCTAGAACCAACCAGTACTGGTGTCAAAACTTTATTTATTCTATCAAGGCTGATGTGTCTATTAAAATTGTACAAACCGGCTCTCTTCCTCATAGTAAACTTTCTTGAATATCCATGCTAAAAATATTCCCAATAGTTGTCCGAAGGTCGGACTTAATGCGTACACGAGATTCTTTCCTAAGTTTTTGTCTATCCCCAAGTGTTCAGACATTGAGGTGATTTGACCTTGAGGCGTTTCAATGCCTAAAATATATAATAGAACTTTTTCTTCACTACCAGAAATGACAGAAACCTTGTTAAAACGATCAGTACAGATCTGAGAGCATTTTTGTCCATGAAAAACAACTGATAACCGAGACAAATAAAGAATAAGCTTGCTCACCAAACTCACTTTTCATACTTATTACAGATTACGGCTAGTTTAAGCATAAATTGTATCATAGTTTGGAGACCTTTCTGTTGAAAATGTGTCAGGGTTAAATCGTATACATATACATGCACAGTGCGTTAACTGGAGTGCGGGTATTAGTTACCCGCACTCCAGAGCATGCCCATTGATTGGATCTTTTTTGCTGGGGTTTACATATTGTGACGGCAGAGAAAGGGAAAGCGACAGAAATGTCATATTCAGATGTTCGTTCATTGGTTCATTTTGCCGGGGTTTCATATTGTGACAACAGGGAACGTGTTTTTATGTTTGACTATGATACAAAAGAGAAAGAACACCAAAACACTCGGCAATCTGATTAATACTCGGGGGCTACGCCCCCTCGTATAAATCAGATAGCCTCGTGTTTCGGTGCTTTTTCTATTACGTATATAGTCTATCTATAATGTTGGAAACTTAGTTACCTTCTAGGCTTCAACAATGTATATCGTCTTTATGTTCACCTTAGAACAAACGACGAATAGAGTGTTATCAATTAAAGAGAATTGTGTGTTTTAATCCAGTTTTAACTAATAGCTACTAGTATATATAAAACTTAATGTGCTTTGCATTTATTGCCTACGTTGAACATTGTAATGACTTCAAATAAATCATATGATAAATAAAAGAATTACCCCATTGGTAAAAGAAATATATAGCACATATTGACCAAAATAGTGCGTTCTTAAGAATTTGTTTACTTCCAACACCAAGGATCCTTGCAACAAATGTTCCTGTACCATCTTTCATGTTCAGTTTAAGTTCCTGTAGCGTTAAGCCAAGCAATCCAATTCCGATGCATAACCCTGTGCTGCCCCTTAAAATATAAAGGTTAAATCTGATCTTTTTACAAGACTAGTACATTCAGCTATAAGTGGTGAAACAAAACAACCTTTCTTATTACGGTGTCTTTATATCAAAAGTTATAAATAAAGATATTTTTATCAATGTGTATTCATTTTATAACTATACACATACATTTAATTAGGAAACAAAATATTTTGGTACTTCATGTACTTAGCGATGGTTTAAACGCGCATGCGCTATCCAATTCAAGACATTCTACCGTTTCAAGATAATTAAATATAAACTGAGAAATATTTGACTTCATCCCAAAAATGAACTAAATAATTATTGTACTAAATTTGTTCCAATGTGGTAGTTTTCCTGTTTATAAATAAGCAATTGACTGATCAATAGCTTGCCTTATTATATTCATGCTCAAACAGACGACCAGTGGTCCATGGTTCAAGATAATGAAGCGCGATTATCTTGCTGACCAAGAATTCAGGGTCAATTCTGTGTTCAAAATTGAATATCTTAAAAGGCTAGCTCTAAGGTCAATAATTAAATTTAAATAGGCAAGCGATATTGAGACATCATTAAATAAATATGAGATATATCTTTCTGTCACGTAAGGAGTTGATACTTTGTTTAAGGTAAATATAAATATAGTGTGCGTACCGTATAAAGAGCGAGTGTTTTTTTTAAGTAAATGTTACGTTAGCACCGAAGTCGGATCATTCGGTATTCGCTCGTTTCATGAATTTACAGGGCTTTTAAATATTCAATTTAAAAGGCTCTTGAACAATGTTTATCAAATCATTCTGACCTAATTTCGTAGCTATATATTCATTGAAATGCATTTTTACGTTTGTACGTTTGTGTACATATACATTTTTACAAAAGTACCTTAAATTAGCCCTCCAATTATTGTTAGGTGAACCTATTATTATTATGAGAATAAAGATAATCTGTCCAGCATATGTCCCAAGTCTTGATAGCAATAACGCTTTCATTCTCTTTGTTGTGAAATATTCTAACACTGGGATCAATGCGCCTAGTTTGATGAAGCTCGTGCCTATTGCTGAAAAGCCAAAATATAGAAATTGTTACTATGAAACGATAATCAATCAATCAATCAATCAACAGGATCGAAAAGTTAATTACCGATCAGTCAGTTTTTTCGACAATTATAGAACATCATGTAAATGTCTGTTAACAAATGAAAATTAAAAAGTTTTCACTAAAATTGTAATGAGTTTCGTTTCATTAGAATTGAACTCACATGCGGGTCCATAAAGAAAGAATTTTACAGCGTCTTCGGTATCATCTTCAAGATAAGATAGTATGAAAACGGTTACCATGACGATACCGGCTCCAATACAAACTGTTGCCCGATAACCAAAATGAATCATAACAACTGCACCCATTGGAGCTGTGAAAAAATGAAAACATACAATTTAATAACCGCTCACAACTTGTATAGAAAAATACGCCAATCTATTTAGTATTACTTTTTCTTCATCTTAAATAACCTGTATAATAGTTGTTGTATTATTTTGGATTGGGTCATTTATTATAACTCCAACTAGCTGGCTGCCCTCCTTCGACATTTTCCATAAAAAATTGTAACCATTGACATGCGCGTTCTGCTCTGGCCTTTGTTACAAACATGGTGACCGTCTTAATGGATTTGTTATATAAACATAATTCCATACTTTCCAAGATATTCAAATCTGCAATGCATTGTTAAGCGAGTATATTTTTATGATTTTATCTGTAATTTAATTTAAACAATTAAGATGAAAACATGTATAATCAATTTATATCACATATATGTATATGTGTGTGCGGATTGTGAATTATTATACGATTTTTTAATTCCCCTCCATTTAAGGTTATTTTTATTTTCTTTTTCATATTCCTATTTATGGTGGCATATTTCTGCCACCAGATAACCTGATAACTAACTAGTAAATTAAGAGGTTAACTAGTTAAGTATTTATGTAATTAGTTAACCTATTAATTAACTAGTTAATTAAGAGGTTAACTAGTTACGTAACTATTTAACCTCTTAATATTAAGCTGACAATAAGGGATGGCAGTTGCGGGCACAAACATGCATTTATTTCCCGTTATGATCTTTTCTTTTTTGAAAAGATTAACTAGTTACGTAACTAGTTAACCTGATAACTAACTAGTTAATTAAGAGGTTAACTAGTTACGTAACTAGTTAACCTCTTAATTAACAAGTTAATTATCAGGTTATCTGGTGGCAGAAATATGCCACCATAAAAATGCCTACTCTTCCTATCTTATTAGATTTACGAATGAATTGTAATATTTTTTTATGCAAATGGCGAACTTATAAAAAGGGGAGGCAATCAAATTTACTATAAAGTACATTTCCGTCACAATATAAGGTAGTCTTAATAGACAAAACACATTTAAATTATCCAGGTTAAGACGCGAACTTTATAACATTACGCGAGGGGTAGTTTCCAGAGTTATATACTACAGTATATGATATCGTATTTAAGGTTTATAGATCAATAACAGAGTTTTATTTTTTTTAAATTTTTGAGTCAGTGCACAGCCATTGTATAAAGTGTATAAAATCTAAACAGCTGTGTACTAGACTATTTTTACCATACAGTCTCATGGTTATTTACAAAATTGGGAGGTGCTGGCTACAGATTACCCATAATGTCACAAAGACACTCCATATTGTATATATCCCTTTGCCTCTCGCCCCGTGTTGTATTTATTATCTTTTTCTGTTACCCCTATAATTGTACATAAAACCTAGTATATTTAATATAGTATACGTAAACCCGTGTCCCATATGGAGCAATACGATTTTCACGGATTCACTCAAGCATGAGATTTTCTTAAATAAGTTACAAAAAGACTATCTCATCAAATTATGGGTAACCAAGTTATTATTATAAGCCATATTTTGGACTAAGTATTTTTTGCATTCTTCTATGAATTGTTTTAATTATTATGTGTAATATCTGAATACATAATAATTTATATACCATGAGACAGTGATCAACAGATAGGCCTTTTCCACCATATTTTATCTATTAAATTTTTTTTATAAATAAATTTAAGAAATTTTTTTTATAAAAAATTTGAAGACGAGAAAAACGCGTATACATTGGAATGCAACGGGCACCTGCTAAATCTCTATCCCGTCCGCGCGACAAACTTGTCAATAAAGTTCAATCCAAAACATGCAGGAATTTAAACGAAATCGGGTTGACCTTTTAATTTTTAAACAACAAATTTTAGACCAATGAGGACAAAAGAGGCAATCATCTCCTAACGACTCAAAATCATTCTTATAAAGCGGGCGTTCGGTAGAACTTACAAAATTTACAATAAATTCTGCTAATTACAAACATTTCATTAATCATATGCATCCTAATGTATGCGTAAATGATATATAATATAGAAGTCAACAATATACATAAAAAGCCCACATTGAATCGAACAAGAACGTTCCTGGCATGCCTTTATCGCATGTTAGTATGCGAATTCTGCAAGTTTTACATGTAAATACTGTAAGTATCTTTTAATCGTTGACCTGTTATAAAAGAAGGTACAATTTATTAACGTCTTGGCCATTTTAAAATAAGAACTTTTAACAATTAATTTTAGAACCTACAAACTTAGAATGGGATTATCCCATCTTCCTCCCCACGTAGAGACGACCCTGTTATGGGAGATATGGTATGCACATAATACATGTACAGATATAACATTTAGTAAACATACAATTTAGGTCATAAATGGAGTATATGCTTGCCCATATGGTTTCTTACCGCTGGCGAGGGTAAACAAACCCAAACACACACACACACACGCACGCACGCACGCACGCACGCACACACACACAAATGCAAACTTACCATACAGATTAACAAGTGCCATGAACTGTAATGAAATTTCTACTTGTGCATCTTCGTCAGTTCCGGTATCAGACGACATTTTGTCGTCAATAATAGAGAAGACTATCAACAACTCCATAATGCTTAGCAACCCATTTATCAACGCGCATGAAAGAACTATTAACCAAGCTCGATGTCCTCCATTTGGCGGGTTTTCGAAAGTGGCGCTCTCTGCAGGCGGTTCGAGCTCAAGAGCTCCATCTCCAACTCCAACAGTTACAGGCTCGTCTGCTACTCTGTTATGCAACGTCACGACATTATTGTGTCTTAACATTTCTGTGTATGGATTAATATTGAAAATTTGACAATTCCTTGAAGTTCATCTATTAATTATAAATTGAAAATTAGTCACGTTGTCCGAAAATGTGATGACAAAAGTAAGGTTTTGCCTCCGTATTATACTTATGTGTACAAACAAACAGACCCTGCTTTCCCTAATGTTATAGTACTTTTGCGTGCAGGTACACTACTCAATCGACAAGTTTTTAGTCTACGTAAACCCTTCAGTATATTACTTGTCTTAACAAAGTTATATCCATTTAAGCGTAGAATAATTGTGCGCTTTTTGTTATTTTGGATTGAATAGTTGGAGTAAATAACCGACGATCAATCATGAATCGGGTATTTATGTCCTTTTTTTAAAGTGACTCCTCAGCAGGCTTGGGTAATATTGTAATGCAGTAAGAATGCATTACTTTTCTTGAGAGTAATGCACTGTAATGATACTGCATGCCAATTTGCATTACTTTAATGGTACTGGAATGCAAAATTCAGGTAAGGAAGGTGCATTACTAAGCATTCATTTGCATTGCTTCATTAAACCTACTACATCATATATGGTATGGATGACCCAAGGAACACAAGATAAGTTTTAAGATGGACTTTATCAGTTAAATAAAATATAAAATCATGAAAAATCGACCAATGTAACCAATTTGATATTTTATACACCTTTATACCAACCATAACCCTTATGCAAGATAAAATTACTATTTGACACTTGCCTTTGTTTGACCATTGGACACATTATCACTTTTTGGAGTTTAAATTTTTACACTGATTATCATAAAATGCATAGTCACTATTACTGACTTATAATACAGTTATAAGTTAACTTAAAAAAAACAATTTTATTTTAATTCAGTTTGGTTGTATTTTTATTTAAAGGTAAGGTATTTTTATTTAAAGGTAAAACACAGAGATGAATATCTTGAGTAGTCTATAAAGAAGGCAATTAATTAAGCAAAAATCACAACATTTGTGGAAGAATCCTTTTCTATGGTGGCATATTTCTGCCACCAGATAAATTGATAACTAACTAGTTAATAAAGAGGTTAACTAGTTACGTAACTAGTTAACCTCTTAATAAACTAGTTAGTTATCAGATTATCTGGTGACAGAAATATGTCACCATTCTTTTCAACTTCAAAAGTATATACTCCAAACAACCCTAAGCAGATAAAAGCCATAAAAACTTTAATTTCCTACATAGCTGCCGACCTTGTACCACTCTCAACGGTTGAAAATGATCATTTCAAGCAATTTGCAAAACATCTTAGCTTTGCAAAAAGAAATTGTTATATGCTTAATTGTAATGGTACTGCATTTCTTGGTCAAAGTAATGGTAATGTACTGCATTACTTGCCTGCTGTCCTAAAATAACATTAGGAAGTACTCTTACTGAAAATATTTTAAGGTTGTCTGTCTATAAAGTAAAAATTATAAGTCTTATTCAAGAAGAATGACTTAGACTTTTTACTTGTGAAAGAAGCTATTGGCTGGATCAATTCTGTGCTATGTATAGCAATTTATGCATTTTAAAATGTAAGTAAAAGAACATTTGCGAAATCTAGATATTAGTTTAAAGAATTGTAGTATTTGATTATTTGTCTATTTGTAAATATGCTTAGAACATGATTATTTTGCACTTTGAGCAGTCTTTGTTATAGGTATATGATATAAATATAATACTATATTCGTGTATATTCAGTCTATATTTAAACGTGATGAATAAAATAAAAATATGCTCGCTAGAGGCTCGCATAATATGAATGTATTCATCTCCTTGAAAAATGTAGTATTTAAGCTACAATCATTTAATATCCTCTATAAAGGTTATACTCTATTTGATAAAATGCCGCATTCCCCTTTAACATTATTATAAAAATGACTTTCAAAATGACTTCGTGAAAGCAGCCTTATTTCAAAATCTGTTAAAGCTTTTGTCTAGACGTACAGTATTTTTTTTTTTTTTGGTATTTGAAACCTGAAAAGGGGAAATCGTTTAAAACTAAAACAAAGGGATAGTTTGACTATCTTAAATCAAATAATTGAATGCCACATTGTAAATGTTAGTGATACTTTAATAGTTTATTTAGTCATTGTTAGTCATATATACAATTGGTTAAACTTTTGACTTTATTCTCTTTTTTGTCCCCAAAAGAGACCACCAGAACCTAGTTATGAAAAAAATAATGGTTGTTAATGCGTCAAAGAATACAAATGAATTAGTCTGATATTTTTAAAATTTACAGACCACAGTGTTGAAGACTTCAGCTTTTTACCTATTGACATTGTTGACAATGATATGGACAGACTCGCCTGTGAAACAGCTTTGATTTACAGACTTGATACTGTGTTTTCCTTCTGGAATGAACACTAGTGTATTTTTCAAATTGTAATTTTTAGTTGGCAATTATAAATATATTGCAACTGTTTTAAAACTTTCTCCATGCATTTTTAATGTTTTGTCTTATATCATCTTACGCTTTTTCTTCATTATTTTTACTTATTTATATCATTTTATTTCATAAAATATTTCATTATTCTATGCAAATTGCCTAATCTTGTACTTTTTGCTGTTTTTAATACCTCCCTCTCTTTATTTTTGAAAAATATTTTCCCCCTTCTATTTTATGTTTTTATTTGACAAATTAGTTTTACATATTCTCTTATTCATTCATTCTTTTTATTATCTATTTTTTGTTTATTATTATTATTATTATTATTATTGGTGGTGTTATTATTATTATTATTTTTATTGGTGTTGGTGATGATGATACGGAAGCGTCCTGGTTACAAATTAACATGTTCTTTAAAAAAATAACTCCTACGTAGGACCTTGAAACTCCTACGTAGGACTTTATAACTCCTACGTAGGAGATAAAAAAGCCTAATTAGAAGTTTATAACTCCTACGTAGGAATTTGTAACTCCTACGTAGGACTTTATTAGTCCTACGTAGGACTTTATAACTCCTACGTAGGAGATAAAAAACCTCAGTAGGAGTTTTAAAGTCCTACGTAGGACTTACAAACTCCTACGTAGGAGTTAAAAAAAGCCTAATTAGGAGTTTATAACTCCTACGTAGGACTTTATAAGTCCTACGTCGGACTTTATAACTCCTACGTAGGACTTTATTAGTCCTACGTAAGACTTAATTACTCCTACGAAGAAGTTAAAAAGGCCTAATTAGGACTTTATAACTCCTACGTAGGACTTTGCAAATCCTACGTAGGACTTGATAACTCCTACGTAGGAGATAAAAAAGCCTAATTAGGAGTTTATAAGTCCTACGTACGACTTTATTAGTGCTACGTAGGACTTTATAACTTATACGTAGAAGATATAAAACCCTAATTAGGAGTTTTAAAGTCCTACGTAGGACTTTATAACTCCTACGTAGGAGTTTAAAAGCGTAATTAGGAGGTTATAAATCCTACGTAGGACTTTTTAACTCCTACGTAGGACTAATAATCCTACGTAGGACTTTATTAGTCCTACGTAGGACTTAATAACTCCTACGTAGGAGATAAAAAAAACCTAATTAGGAGTTTATAACTCCTACGTAGGACTTTACAACTTCTACGTAGAGGAACACTTATAAAGTCCTTTTTTATAGAACATGTTAAATTGGTACCAGGACGCTTCCTTATGATGATGATAATATGTAATGGATAATGTTTTTGTTATTATTATTATTATTATTATTATTATTATCTTTTTTATTATTCTAGATAACTTGCTGGCTAAGTAAAGTAATGCTTTCTCGCTAATTCCCAGTCAATGTATATATAAAATTATATGATATATTTTGACATAAAGGTATGTTGGGTTTTATCATTTTTCTCTGCTTTATATTGTAGAAATATAGTTCTATTATTTATACCCGCTGTATCTTTTTGATCCATATCAATTTTTTAATTACTTTACATTCACGTTTTTGCCCAAATTTGTCACGTTGACGTTGGCGTCCTAACGGACGTGACGTCAAATACTTTGTACGTTATTCTGATTAAGACAACGGTCAAAACAAGTAAAGATTAAAGAAATATGTGATGTTTTGGTGTATTTTAACTGATAAAATTTACACAGAAATTAACATTATTACTGTCAACATTATTCACCTTGCTATCACATCTAGATTGATTTGTTACTAATTGAACGTTTCAATATTTGAAAGCAATTATCGAGTGGGTTAATAAATGGTTGGTTAGGGGAAAAGTGCAGTGTACAAACTTTTGATTTAATAGATGTGCATCCAAAAGATTCAGAAGGTTGCGTGTCAATGATTATAAAGAATTAACATGAAAAGTGGCAGTAAAGGACCACGAACACAATCGGGGGAACGGACTTCGGTTTTACACCTCATTTACATAATTAATAGTTTCCTCTTCAGATTGGTGTTATCATGTAAAATGTCATCTCATATGATTCTAAAGTGAAATGCATATTATTTTGTTCTTCGATCCAAAGTATGAATTACAGTACTTAAAATTTGACAACAATCGCATGTAGTATGATGGTAGTATCTTTTAGTGCGAGTAAGGTTTTATCGTGGTGTATTCTTTGCTGGATAAAAATAAATATATTTATCAGTAAGTCTGTATTATAGATGTTTTTAAAAAAACAACATGAAAATCCATTTTTTTCGGAAGTATTAAGAACTGCAACTAAAGCAGAATAATCTTTAATCATTATCGTTGTCATCACCATTGTCAATCAATCAATTAATCAATCAATCAATCAGCTACTGAATCATCACCATTGTCATTCATGCTGGTGTCATCGTCGCTATCATCATTGACATTACTGTCACTGTCATCGCCACTATCACTTTAATTACTGGTATCAATCAAAGAGCTCCACTAAGGTTCAACAGCATCAAAAACTAAAAGATTAAATATCCTGCATAGATGAAAATTAACGTTAAAAATATACTCAGAATGGAAAAGGATTTTTTTTGCGTACGTGCGTGTGTGAGTGCGATTTCTTGACCCGATTTTAGTTCAAAGGGCTTAACGCCTTTCATTTCTAACATTTTTACACAACTAAATTTATTACTTTTCAAAAAAAAAAAAGAAAAAAAGAAAAAAAAGAACGGATACTGCAAATGACATTCAATTTCGCACACCAGTTATGCATTATGGGAATACAAAATGGCG